GCTGAAAGGGCCTTATTATGTCTCATGTCTCCTTCCTTCCTTCCCATTGAGCCCCTCATTCAGTAGGGTTGTACCAGCTTCAGTTGCTGTGCCTCCTCTGGTCAATACCCCTGTAGCTCGCTTCAGCCTATTTACCTCATCTTCTAGGACCATTATCCTGGCTACTGCTGCTTCGAGTTAGGACTCACAATTCTTCTTCTCCTCTCTCCAACCTCTTTTCCAATTTCACAGAAAACTGTGTCTCAATTTTTGCAGAAAGCTCTTCTAGTTTTCCCCTCCAACTGTTGTTCCATCCTTTTGCATTGCTCTTCCATCAATTTTTCCTTACCAGAACTATTCCCCAGTGATACCCGGGATCCTAGAGTCCCCCTCTAAGCAAATATTTTTTTTCTTGAGGGAAACGGTGGCAGAAGGGAGGAAGGGAAAGAGTGGTGGGATGGGGGAAGGGGGAGAAAAAAGTGAGAGAGGGGGGTAGGGGGGTGAGGGGGAATGCCTGAGTGGGTGGAGTGGAAGGGAGAGACAGAGAGAATGGTAGGTAGGTGGTGTGGGTAGGGGGTAAGGGGGAATGCCTGAGTGGGTGGAGTGGGAGAGGGAGAGAGTGAGAGTGAGAGAAAGAGAGAGAGAGAGAGAGAGAGAGAGAGAGAGAGAGAGAGAGAGAGAGAGAGAGAGAAGAGAGAGAGAGGAGAGGGAGAGAGAGACAGGTCAGGAGAGTGGAAGAGAGAGAGAGAGAGAGAGAGAGAGAGAGAGAGAGAGAGAGAGACCAATATTGTCAAAGTTCCACACTTGAATCCACTTCGAGGACAGCGAGAAGCAAGCTTCTATACCACAAGACGGGCAGCCAACAGCAACTTCACTCTGGCTGTACCCTTCTCCAGAACATCACTTCATCTGAGATCATTTATCCCGAGGATGACTCGAGAGAGAGAGAGAGAGAGAGAGAGTGACAGAGAGTGAATGTGTGCACCCGTGTCCTCTTGGTGTCAGAGGACCAAGCAGTGTAGAGTGGTTGGTAGGTTGGAGGGGGTAGGGGTGAGGGGGAATGCCTGAGTGGGTGAAGTGGGGGTCTCTGTGGGCCAGAGTAGGGGTTATGGGGGAGACTGTGAGGAAGGGAAGCCTAATAGTAACGCTAATAATAATACTAACAATAACAATATGCTAATAGTTCCAATACTCAGCTTCCACAAGCATGAACACTGCACTGTGTATGTATTACCTGGAGTTTACCTGGAGAGAGTTCTGGGGGTCAACGCCCCCGCGGCCAGGTCTGTGGCCAGGCCTCCTGGTGGATCAGAGCCTGATCAACCAGGCTGTTACTGCTGGCTGCACGCAATCCAACGTACAAGCCACTTCCCGGCTGGTCAGGTACCGACTTTAGGTGCTTGTCCAGTGCCAGCTTGAAGACTGCCAGGGGTTTGTTGGTAATCCCCCTTATGTATGCTGGGAGGCAGTTGAACAGTCTCGGGCCCCTGACACTTATTGTGTTGTCTCTTAACGTGCTAGTGGCACCCCTGCTTTCCATTGGGGAGATGTTGCATCGTCTGCCAAGTCTTTTGCTTTCGTTGTGAGTGATTTTCGTATGTAAGTTTGTAACTAGTCCCTCTAGGATTTTCCAGGTGTATATAATCATGTATCTCTCCCACATGCATTCCAGGGAATACAGGTTCAGGAACCTCAAGCGCTCCAAGTAATTGAGGTGTTTTATCTCCGTTATGCGCGCCGTGAAGGTTCACTGTACATTTTCTAGGTCGGCAATTTCACCTGCCTTGAAAGGTGCTGTTAGTGTGCAGCAATATTCCAGCCTAGATAGAACAAGCGACCTGAAGAGGGTCATCATGGGCTTGGCATTCCTAGTTTTGAAGGTTCTCATTATCCATCCTGTCATTTTTCTAGCAGATGTGATTGATTCAATGTTATGGTCCTTGAAGGTGAGAGCCTCTGACATGATCACTCCCAGGTCTTTGACGTTGGTTTTTCGCTCTATTTTGTGGCCGGAATTTGTTTTGTACTCTGCTGAAGTTTTAATTTCCTCGTGTTTACTATATCGAAGTAATTGAAATTTCTCATCGTTGAACTTCATATTGTTTTCTGCAGCCCATTGAAAGATTTGGTTGATATCCGCCTGGAGCCTTGCAGTGTCTGTAATGGAAGACGCTGTCATGCAGATTCACATGTCATCAGCAAAGGAAGACACGGTGCTGTGGCTGACATCCTTGTTTATGTCAGATATGAGGATGAGACACAAGATGGGATCGAGTAGTGTGCCTTGTGGAACAGAGCTTTTCACCGTAGCTGCCTCAGACTTTACTCTGTTGACTACTACTCTTTGTGTTCTGTTTGTGAGGAAAAATTATAGATCCATCTACCAACTTTTCCTGTTATTCCTTTAGCATGCATTTTTGCAAAGTCTGTATATATTACATCTGCATTCTTTTAGTCATCTAGTGCATCTAGGACCTTGTCATAGTGATCCAATAGTTGAGACAGACAGGAGCGACCTGTTATATACCCATGTTGCCCTGGGTTGTGCAACTGATGGCTTTCTAGATGAGTGGGAATCTTGTTTCTTAGGACACTTTCAAAAATTTTTATGATATGGGATGTTAGTGCCATCGGTGTGTAGTTCTTTGCTATTGCTTTACTGCCCCCTTTGTGGAGTGGGGCTATGTCTGTTGTTTTTAGTAACTGTGGGACGACCCCCATATCCATGTTCCCTCTCCATAGGATGGTAAAAGCTCGTGATAGGGGCTTCTTGCAGTTCTTGATGAACACGGAGTTCCATGAGTCTCGCCCTGGGGCAGAGTGCATGGGCTTGTCATTTATCTCCTGTTCGGAGTCATTTGGCGTCAGGATAACATCAGATAGGCTTGTGTTAACCAAATTCTGTGGCTCTCTCTTAAAACATTAATTTTGATCTTCGACTCTCAGTCTCGTTAGCGGCTTGCTAAAAACTGAGTCATATTGGGACTTGAGTAGCTCACTCATTTCCTTGCTGTCATCTGTGTAGGACCCATCTTGTTTAAGTAGGGGCCCAATACTAGACATTCATTCATTCATTAGAGGTTTGTCTTTACTTCCGGCCCGGGTCTTCTCCATATGGTGACCCGGCTGAACTAGATGTTGTTCTCGACTTTGATTTGGCATAGGAAAAGAAATACTTTAGGTTTCTTTCGATTTCATTTATGGCTTTTAGTTCTTCCCACGATTCTTGACTCTTATAAGATTCCTTTAGCTTAAGTTCGATGTTTCCTATTTCTCTGACCAGTGACTCCCTACGCATTTCAGATATATTGGCCTCTTTTAGCCGCTCTGTTATTCTTTTTCATCGCCTGTAAAGGGAGCTCCTGTCTCTTTCTATTTTACATCTACTCCTCCTTTTTCTTAAAGGAATAAGCCTTTAGCATACATCGAGTGCCACCGAGTTAATCTGGTCTAGGCATAAGTTGGGGTCTGTGTTGCTTAGTCTACCTTCCCAACTTATATCGGTTAGGACTTGGTTTACTTGGTCCCACTTTATGTTCTTGTTATTGAAGATGAATTTAGTGAAGGCTCCCTCGTGACTAATCTCATTATGTCTGTCTGGGGCTCCACGCATACATGTCTGAACCTCAATTATGTTGTGATCTGAGTATATTGTTTTTGATATGGTGACATTTCGTATCACATCATTATTGTTAGTGAAGATGAGGTCTAGTGTATTCTCCAGTCAAGTAGGCTCTATTATTTGTTGGTTTAAGTTGAATTTTGTGCAGAGAATTAAAAGCTCGTGTGTGTGTGAGTTTTAGTCAGAGCTGCCTGCTTGTGTTGTCACTGCAACAACATTATTTGTAATAAAGTTGGCAGAATTACCGACAATATGTAAAGTAAAAGGAAACAAGTGCAACTAATGTGATATTTTATTGTGGCAACGTTTCGCTCTCATGTACGAATTGGTTGCTCTACCATATTGCATTGCTTTTGTCACTACTACTACTACTACTACTACCACCACTAGTGAACATCGAAATGGTTCCTCACTAGTATTGCTCCTCACTCTGATCCTTTATATACCCTCTGTGTCCATGTATTGTTTGTAATGGCTTGATAAAGCTCCTGGAGAGCGAAACGTTGCCACAATAAAATATCTCATAAGTTGCACTTGTGTCCTTTTACTTAACAACATTATTTGCTATATTCCTCCATTTTAGGTGCCTTAAGTTGAAATCCCCCAGGAGCAAGATGTTGGGGGCAGGAGCTGGCAGATTTTCCAGACAGTGGTCAATATTTAAAGGCTGTTCCTGGAATTGCTGGGACGTTTCATCCAGAGGCTTGTAGACTACCGCAATGACTAGGTTTTGGTTCTCGATCTTTACTGCTAAAACTTCCACTACATGATATGAGGCATTAAGCAGTTCTGTGCAAACAAGTGACTCTGGCTCTGATTATGTTCATAGTCAGTCTTATACCTACGTATATCGCTATACTAACAACATACCAATATTAATACTAGTAGTACTAACATTGACACTAACAATGTTTGCGTGTGTGGGGGGGGGAGAGATAAGACCTGTAGTGATTGACAGTGTTCACTGTTGTTCAGGAGTTCCAGGCAGTAGGTGAGGGTGAGAGGTGCGACACTGGAGGAGGACAGTGTGTGAGGATCCAGGCTGACTGTCTCAGCTACCTCACTAACTACAATGACTGTCCTCGTGGCTCCCACTGTTGCCTCAGTAAGTATAATCTTCTCTGAGAGATTAAGCTTTGATTATAATCATGATATACAATACCTACAATTATTTTCCTCAGTAAGACACCTGTGCAACAGCTGGGTATCTTTATTGTTAGAAAGTTTTGCTTGATCAGTAGGCTTCTTCTGTCGAAGAAAGAGGAGAGAGCAGAAGCAGTGGAGAGATGAAGATGATGTGATCAGTCCATAAACCTTAAAGAAGTAATTTTGAGTAGGTCAGTCCCTCAGTCTACAGAGGTGTTCAGCTTCATATTTCTGAAGAGTATAAAACTGAAACATGAGACTAGAGCCTTTTATACTTGTGAAGGTGAGCCATGGATAATCTGGATGAAGTCATTAAAGGCGGGTCCTACTAGTAGAAGCAGGAACGTAATAAAGATTCCCAAAGTTGCACAAGTGTCTTATTCCTCAAGTTATCGTTTTCCAAACAAGTTCCATCAGTCCTGTCTTGCTTAGATTTATTTAGCTCTTTATTTGTATCCCCAATATTTATAACAGTCTTCCATTTAAACACTTTAATAATCTAACCCCTGAGTCTACACCTTCCTTTAGAATTTCATCATGAGTCTTAAGCAGAGAAGGATAACCTAACTATTTTAAATACCCAAGTCATTTGGTGTCTTTTTCATTATTATTTCTTCATAATTGTCGAATGTGTAAAAAATTAACATCTTGCATAGCTTATATCAACACCTGAAATTACCACAGGAAATGGATCACTTGAAGCATCACTCACTGGCAACAGAAGTATAGCAAGTAAAGGTGGAGCCCCAGAGAACCTTGACACAGGCAGCAGAAGTACAGCAAGTGAAGGTGGAGCCCCAGAGAACCTTGAACCCGGCAAACAGAAGTACAGCAAGTGAAGGTGGAGCCCCAGAGAACCTTGACACAGGCAGCAGAAGTACAACAAGTGAAGGTGGAGCCCCAGAGAACCCTGACACAGGCAGCAGAAGTACAGCAAGTGAAGGTGGAGCCCCAGAGAACCTTGACCCCAGGCAGCAGAAGTACAACAAGTAAGGGGGAGCCCCAGAGAACCCTGACACAGGCGGGAGAAGTACAGCAAGTGAAGATGGAGCCCAGAGAACCTTGACACAGGCAGAGAAAAAACACAACACTAACACAGAAGAACATCAAACAATGTATTTTCAGGAAACACCGAAAAATAAGTCAAAGTAAGAGAAAGAGGGAAAAAGGTAATAAAGAACAAAGATGGTGTCAGTGGACAACCCAGCAGTGGTAAAGATGTTCAACGCGCAACAAGGGTCACCAAAAAAAAAACAAGAAAGCAAATATTTACCAAACAACATTATATGAATGACAGCAAAGAAATAAATGATGATAAACAAAACTTTTAAAAAAAAAAAAAAAGGAAAGCAAATAAAGAAAATAAAGAGAATAAAAAGCTTAATAGAAAAGAAAATAAGAGAAAGGATAAGAAAATAATGGAGAGAAAAAGTTACAAACATGGCAGGAGATGATAATGAAGAGACAGAAGGAAGATCTGAAGAAAATCTCAATAAAAAAAGAAAACCTTAATTAAAAAGAAATAACAGCCAAAAGCGACGCAAAAATATACAAGACAAAAAACCCAAAACGACATAAAAAAAATAAACAACATATACAAGAAGAATGAAGAACGAAGAAAAATGGAAAAGGACAAAGGAAAGAACAGGAAACCAAAAGAGAAAAGAAAAAAGGCTGAAATATAACCCACAGAGGAATGAATAAAAGTAGGAGATATAGAGGAAAGAGGAGAAATAAAGCACACACGGAATTAGACAAAGTAAACATAAAGAAAGAACAGGAAAATAATAAAAGTAATAAAAGTATCGATAAGAAGAAGATGAGGGAAAATCTTGTAGAAAATAAAAGCCAGAAGGAAAGTAAAGAAGACAAGAGTTACAACGGAGAGAGAATAAATAAAAACAGCAGAAAGATAAACAAGAAGACAAACAAAAATGTGATAAATAACAAAGTGCAGAAAAGAATAGGCAAAGGTAGACTAAGAGATAAAGAAACAGAGAAGAACGACACAGACAAAGAACATCAAAGAAGAAGAGGAAATAAAACGTTGAAAAACAACAGAAAAAACATGAACAATAGTAAACAGAAGAAGAAAAGCGGGAGTAGAAACACCGCAACAAAGATGAAGAATGAAAAAAATACAAGAAAGACTATAAAGAAGATAATGAAGAATAAGAGGAAGAATAACAATAATAAGATAAAGAATTTGAGTAAGAAAAAGAAAAATCAAAGTAACAAGAATATGAAAAATAATGAGAAAGAAGGAAAAACGAAGATAGAGAGAACATCTAAGAATAAGAAGCGTAACAGAAAGATGGTTAACAGAGTAATGAAGAATAAGAAAGGAGGAACAAAGAAGGTTAGTGAAAAATTCAAGAATAAGAAAGGATGGAAAAAGAAGATAGAGAAACAGTTCAAGAAGAAGAAGCAGACTGGCAATAAATACAAGATAAAGAAGAAGACAGGTAGAAAATCTAAGAATATAAAAGATGGAAAACAACAAGTTAAAAGAAAATCCAGGAATAAGAAGAAAAGAAAACAGGAAGTTGATAAAAAATCCAAAACAGAGAATAATGGAAGAAAATCTAAGAACAAGAAGAGAAGAAAGAAGAAAATTAACAAAAAAATGAAGAACAAGAAGAGAAGAAAGAAGAAAATTAACAAAAAAATGAAGAATATGAAAACAGGGAAGCAAAATTTAAGAAAAAATACAATAAATAAGAAAAGAGGGAAGGAGAAGAAAGGTCAGAAAACTGAGAATAAGAAGAATGGAAGGCAATCCAAGAATATGTTAAAGAATAAAAAGATTGGTGGTAAATATAAGAACAAGAAGATTGGTAGTAAATCTAAGAATAGGAAGACTAGCAGTAAATTTAAGAATAAGAGGGATGGCAGTAAACTTAAGAATAAGAAGGCAGGCAATAAATTTAAGAATAAGAAGATTAATAGTAAATCTACAAACAAAATGATTGGTAATAAATCCAAGAATAAAAAGGGTAACAGTAAATTCAGGATAAATAAGGAAACGAAACAAGTTAGAAAGATGTCTAAGAATAAGAAGAGAAGGAAGCAGAAATCCAGGAAAAATAAGGAAAGGAAACATGTTAGAAAGAAGACTAAGAATAAAGAAGGAAAGAAGCAGAAATCCAGGAAAAATAAGGAAAGGAAACATGTTAGAAAGAAGACTAAGAATAAAGAAGGAAAGAAGCAGAAATCCAGGAAAAATAAGGAAAGGAAACATGTTAGAAGGAAGACTAAGAATAAAGAAGGAAAGAAGCAGAAATCCAGGAAAAATAAAAAAAGGAAACATGTTAGGAGGAAGACTAAGAATAAAGAAGGAAAGAAGCAGAAATTTAGGAAAAATAAGGAAATGAAACATGTTAGAAGGAAGACTAAGAATAAAGAAGGAAAGAAGCAGAAATCCAGAAAAAATAAGGAAAGGAAACATGTTAGAAAGAAGACTAAGAATAAGGAAGGAATGAAGCAGAAATCCAGGATAAATAAGGTTGAGAGAAAATCCAAGAAAGGACAATATAAGGATGATCCTTGCAAGAAGCTTCTGCAAGATTGCAAGAACTTTGGTGGTCGTTGTGTCAGTCCAGATAAGAAGTGTTTAACTACACACAAGACTTACACCAGAGGCTCCTGTCAGTCTTGCAAATGTTGCAAACAACGTGAGTCATCTCTACTTTTATTATATACCTTGTCAGGTATCCGAAATATTTATTGAATATTTTTCTTGATGACCCAAAGTATTTTATGTTGCTGAAATCGTCCTCATTTCTAATTACTAATAATTTACAAAAAAAAAATTATAAGAATGAAATTATGGAAAAATTAAATGTACATATATACAAAAAGACGAAGAGAATTTATTTCGAGGATATTTAAAGTCATAATATTACTACAAGAGTTTGAACTCTTGCAATGACTACTTTGAATGACTTCAGTAACTGACATCGTGATAGGCCTTCAAGTGAAAGAAATATTAAATCATGTATAAAACTTGTCAGAATGCAAGACGAAGAAGAAGTGCAAGAAGCGTGGAGGGAAGTGCAAGAAGACGTGTTCGGCGAGTGAGAGCGAGTTATTGAAAGGTTGTAAAGGAAAGAAGTGCAAGTGTTGTGTGTTGGGCGACAGTAAAGGTAGGAACCACACCAGGTGTTGTCTACAGTGCACACAGGTGTGCTTTAAATTCTGAATATAAAACACCTGTACTAGCATGCAACAATACACTTAAACAAACACACACACACACTCACACACACACACACACACACACACACACACACACACACACACACACACTCACATACACTCACACACACACACACACACACACACACACACACACACACACACACACACACACACACACACATCACTCACACACACACACACACACACACACACACACACACACACACACACACACACACACACACACACATACACTCACACACACAGTCCTAGGACCTGTGCTGTTCTTGGTATATGTGAATGACATAACGGAAAGGGTAGACTCAGAAGTGTCCTTGTTTGCGGACGATGTGAAGTTAATGAGAAGAATCAAATCGGATGAGGATCAGGCAGGACTACAAAGAGACCTGGACAGGCTACAAGCCTGGTCCAGCAACTGGCTCCTTGAGTTTAACCCTGCCAAATGCAAAGTCATGAAGATTGGGGAAGGGCAAAGAAGACCGCAGACACAATATAGTTTAGACGGCCAAAGTCTGCAAACCTCACTCAAGGAAAAAGATCTGGGGGTGAGTATAACACCGAACATATCTCCTGAGGCATACATCAATCAGATAACTGCTGCAGCATACGGGCGCCTGGCAAACCTACGGATAGCGTTCCGATACCTCAGTAAGGATTCGTTCAAGACTCTGTATACCATTTATGTCAGGCCCATACTGGAGTATGCAGCACCAGTTTGGAATCCACACCTAGTCAAGCACGTCAAGAAATTAGAGAAAGTGCAAAGGTTTGCAACAAGACTAGTCCCAGAGCTACGGGGATTGTCCTACGAAGAAAGGTTGAGGGAAATCGGCCTGACGACACTGGAGGCCAGGAGGGTCAGGGGAGACATGATTACGACATATAAAATACTGCGCGGAATAGACGAGGTGGACAAAGATTGGATGTTCCAGAGATGGGACATAGACACAAGAGGTCACAATTGGAAGTTGAAGACTCAGATGAATCAAAGGGATGTTAGGAAGTATTTCTTCAGTCATAGAGTAGTCAAGCAGTGGAATAGCCTAGAAAGTGAAGTAGTGGAGGCGGGAACCATACATAGTTTTAAGGCCAGGTATGATAAAGCCCATGGAGCAGGGAGAGAGAGGATCTAGTAGCAATCAGTGAAGAGGCGGGGCCAGGAGCTATGACTCGACCCCTGCAACCACAAATAGGTGAGTACACACACACATACACACACACACACACGCACACACACACATACAGGAGCACATACAGGCCAGGAGCTCAGACTCGACCACCACAACCTCAACTAGGTGAGTACACACATACACTCACACAAACACTCTCACACACACGCACACACACAAACCCACACACACACACACCCCCACACACACACACAAAACACAAAACCCACACACACCACACACACACCATGTGATTTAAAGCTTCGAATACACAGTAAGCTAAAAGTGGAGGGAAAGCAGGAAGGCCAGGACGAATGAAGCCAAACTACAAGAAAGGGACTACAGAGGAAGAGGAACACCCTGAACGGGGTTCAGTGGGAAAAGAACTGGCAGGGAAGCCATTAATGAGATGATGGAATATGTAGCAACAAAATGCAAGGAGGCTGAGGAGAGGTTTGTACCCAAGGGGAACAGGAATAATGAAAAAAACCAGGATGAGCCCATGGTTTTTCCCAAAGGTGCAGGGAGGCAAAACCAAGTGTTCTAGGGAATGGAAGAAATATAGAAGGCAAAGGACCCAGGAGAATAAGGAGAACAGTCGTAGAGCCAGAAACGAATATGCACAGATAAGAAGGGAGGCCCAAAGACAATATGAAAATGACATAGCAGCGAAAGCCAAATCTGACCCGAAACTGTTGTACAGCCACATCAGGAGGAAAACAACAGTCAAGGACCAGGTAATCAGGCTAAGGAAGGAAGGAGGAGAGACAACAAGAAATTGACCGTGAAGTATGTGAAGAACTCAACAAGAGATTCAAAGAAGTGTTCACAGAGGAGACAGAAGGGACTCCAGAAAGACGGAGAGGTGGGGCACACCACCAAGTGCTGGACACAGTGCACACAACCGAGGAAGAAGTGAAGAGGCTTCTGAGTGAGCTAGATACCTCTAAGGCAATGGGGCCAGATAACATCTCCCCATGGGTATGAGAGAGGGAGCAGAGGTTGCTATGTGTACCCCTAACAACAATATTCAATACATCTATCGAAACAGGGAGATTGCCTGAGGCATGGAAGACAGCAAATGTAGTCCCAATCTTTAAAAAAAGGAGACAGACATGAAGCATTAAACTACAGACCAGTGTCACTGACATGTATAGTATGCAAAATCATGGAGAAGATTATCAGGAGAAGAGTGGTGGAACACCTAGAAAGGAACGATCTCATCAACAGCAGCCAACATGGTTTCAGGGACGGGAAATCCTGTGTCACAAACCTACTGGAGTTCTATGACATGGTGACAGCAGTAAGACAAGAGAGAGAGGGGTGGGTGGAATGCATTTTCTTGGACTGCAAGAAAGCGTTTGACACAGTTCCACACAAGAGATTGGTGCAAAAACTGGAGGATCAAGCAGGGATAACAGGGAAGGCACTACAATGGATCAGGGAATACTTGTCAGGAAGACAGCAGCGAGTCATGGTACGTGGCGAGGTGTCAGAGTGGGCACCTGTGACCAGCGGAGTCCCGCAGGGGTCAGTCCTAGGACCAGTGCTGTTTCTGGTATATGTGAACGACATGACGGAAGGAATAGACACTGAGGTGTCCCTGTTTGCACATGACGTGAAGTTGATGAGAAGAATTCACTCGATCGAAGACCAGGCAGAACTACAAAGGGATCTGGACAGGCTGCAGACCTGGTCCAGCAATTGGCTCCTGGAGTTCAATCCCACCAAGTGCAAAGTCATGAAGATTGGGGAAGGGCAAAGAAGGCCGCAGACGGAGTACAGTCTAGGGGGCCAGAGACTACAAACCTCACTCAAGGAAAAAGATCTTGGGGTGAGTATAACACCAGGCACATCTCCTGAAGCACACATCAACCAAATAACTGCTGCAGCATATGGGCGCCTAGCAAACCTCAGAACAGCATTCCGACATCTTAATAAGGAATCATTCAGGACCCTGTACACCGTGTACGTTAGGCCCATATTGGAGTATGCGGCACCAGTTTGGAACCCACACCTAGTCAAGCACGTGAAGAAACTAGAGAAAGTGCAAAGGTTTGCAACAAGACTAGTCCCAGAGCTAAGAGGTATGTCCTACGAGGAGAGGTTAAGGGAAATCAACCTGACGACACTGGAGGACAGGAGAGATAGGGGGGACATGATAACGACATACAAAATACTGAGAGGAATTGACAAGGTGGACAAAGACAGGATGTTCCAGATAATGGACACAGTAACAAGGGGACACAGTTGGAAGCTGAAGACACAGACGAATCACAGGGATGTTAGGAAGTATTTCTTCAGCCACAGAGTAGTCAGTAAGTGGAATAGTTTGGGAAGCGATGTAGTGGAGGCAGGATCCATACATAGCTTTAAGCAGAGGTATGATAAAGCTCATGGCTCAGGGAGAGTGACCTAGTAGCGATCAGTGAAGAGGCGGGGCCAGGAGCTCGGACTCGACCCCTGCAACCTCAACTAGGTGAGTACAACTAGGTGAGTACACACAAACACACAGTCACGCAGACGTGGGGACACAAGGCTCCGAGAACCTTAGTGTTTTAAGGCGTGCAGTAACTGCTAGCAGTAATCAGTGGTAGTGACAACGTCAGTGAACAATCCTACGAGTGATAACCAAAGTTATTAGTTAAAAAAAGCCGAGAGGAAGCCTGAAATCATTAATATTTCAAATTGCCAAACCGTTAGGGACCTAGTAGGCACCTGTTGCCACAAAGATTCAAACATACAAAGATCAAAGTGAGTGTGGAAGCGGGTGCTCAGGAATTACGAGAAATTGGTTAACAAGTGAAATGCGGGGCACCATACAGTGAGAGTGAAAAAATTAATAAGCATAAGGAGAAAGGAAAAATAAAATAAATAACAAGGGAAGGTGGCGGAGTAGGCCTGCTGAAGCGGTGACGTCACAACAGTTGTGTGCCATTATACATATAAAGTGTAACCACCGAATGCGAAGTGTATACTATCATAAGTGAAAAGCGACATCACTTGAGGAATGTAGGATGTATGAGCATATATGGTTATAAACATAACGAGTGAAGTATTTACAAAATAGTGATAGAAGGCCTATGTACGACGACAATGTCATCAGCATCTGGCAACTTGTCATTGTTCCGCTGCTAGCGCAAGTATTGCTCACCTATTGAGGTTGCATGTTGTCAGATTCTGGTCTCTGCATCACTGTTTGATACTGGTCACTCACTTTTGCAAGCTGTTACCAGAATTAGAGTAGAAATAGCATAGATAAGGTGAAAATAGGGTTGACGAGAATGTGAGGAGTAAAGCGGTGTAACGAGGGATAATGTCAGACACTTGTTGAAGTTGAGACAAGCTAAATTTTACAAGCTAGTTACCTTCTACATTTTATAAGTAGAATTAACAAGTGGTAAAATTACTTTTGGTAAGTTTTAGAATTACTGGTATTACTATTGGTATTTATTATCAGTATGAATACTTAGAAGTGGGGACACACACACACACAAACACACACACACAAAAACACACTCACACACAAACACACACACACACGCACACACAGGAACAAGTGGTCAGGCACTTGTAAAAGCTGTAGTATACATGCACAGAGAATACCTGACAGGGAGGCAACAACTAGTCATGGTGCATAATGATGCATCACAGTGGGCACCTGTGACGAGCGAGGTCCCTCAGGGGTCGGTCCTAGGACCAGCGCTATTTTTGGTATATGTGAATGACATGATGGAAGGGTTAGACTCAGAAGT